TTGCTAGAAGGTTTTTATGTCGTTTTATTCGATAAGGACAAAAGCAAGGTTTTCTCGTAGACCCTACCGTATCTTGAAAGCAACGTTGTTTTGTGTTATTATTTTAGCACTTTCTTAAACAATCCTCTGTTTTAATATACAGTAATGTGAAAGAAATCGACACTGTTGCAACACTAAAAAATTCCTTGTCACTTTGTTAAATATATATTCACTTGTAGTTTTTTTGACTCGTTGCATACTGTGACATTTGCTGGTTTTCCCTACCAATCCGTAGTTAGTCAGCCACGTGCAGTCGCCTACCATTTCAGGACTTCGGTGCTCATTCTGCACTGTCGAAATCGATGCTGACTGACAAAGCGTTTAGGAGAATCGGTATCGCTGCTTGTCTTCTGTCGGTGATTTCGACATCTGTTCTATGCCTTACTGTGATCGACATTTGGCAGCGCGCTAGCGCTCTTAAGTCGGAGTCTATGGCACGAAGCCACGCATTCGCAGTGAGCACTTGCTGTCGAACTAGAACTCCATCGTCAAAACAGCATTGTTCATAATTCTTTACTACATGTAGAACAGCTTTAAAAATCTCACAAGATCGTTAGCCGAGGCATATGGACATGTTTCATATTTTTATGATAACAAAGAGTAAGCGTTGTCAGAGTTCTGAAAAATTTTGTTAGTCTGAGTTACCCTAGGACCGTTTTCCAAAAGTTCGAACATCTTTCACCGCTTTAATTTGCATAGTAATAGCGCAATTTTTAACTCATAATGAAGCTCGTATATAATGCTGAGATATTTGCAAAACTCCGGACCGCAGGTGTATGCGGTGGGGAACGAACGCGCTATTGTACTCCCCGGAATGGACAATAGCGCATTCGTTCCCCACCGCATACACCTGCGGTCCGGAGTTTTGCAAATATCTCAGCATTATATACGAGTTATATTTCGCAACATACCCTGCCGTTAAAAAGAAGAAGGCAGTAAATAAAAAGGTTAGGATCATAATGAAACGTTTCAGGTGAAATCACAAGTGATCTTGGCTGAAATGAGTGAAATGAGCCGCAGTTTCAGAATTTCTAGGTATTCAGAGGCGGGAGATGAGAAAAATGCCGGTGTCTTGCACAAATGCAGCCGTAAGTATCAGAAAACCGTTCTGAATCTGGTTTTGTTCTGAGCTTCCAATTTCGCAAAAAAATTATTGGGATATGCTTCGCCACGAATCTCCTTCAAGGATGGATCTCATTTCGGTTGTTCACGTAGCAACATACCGCGTTCATAGGTGGCGGACAAGGAGTAAAAATCAAAGCGACCAATGCTTCCTTGAGACGCGTTTAAATCCAATGCACAGACATTTTGTTTCTGCTGCGCTGATTTGACACTGTTGCAGATAACGTATACATGCTTGCGTTTACGGATCTGTTCTTGTTCAGGCAGATTGTATTCTACGATACAATTCAGCCAAAGACCTGCAATCAAGTAACGGAAGAATATTGTGGAGGCGGTTAGCAGTCGCCTCCAAAAAACAAACTACCCGTCTACTCTGGGAAAGACTGGCAAGCAACCCATGAGTACACGCAGTATCCACTTTCAAAACTGAGCAATCTATATGTGGATATCAAAAAGTTAATCACAGTGAAACAAATGAGCCTCATCTCTCTGAACCCGAAAAAGCCCCATTACTGCAGCGTCGGTTAGGAGAAGTACGGAGAGAGCGACAGAATCTGACGGTTAAGCTGCCTAAACTGCGATGGATAAAGGCGACGACGATCTGTACCTACAACGCACTCACACTTGCATCTTAGCCCCGATAGAAAACTTACCATGCGCACAAGAAAGGTAGAGCATGGAGCCATCGAACTGGCCGAGACAAGAGGGTGCATCCCGTTTAACACTGTCTATGAGATCGGAGAAGAACTGATCCTCCGAACATGCGACAGTATACGGAGTCATTCTCGTCAGCACGAGTTTACCCTTGAACAACCATTTATTCGAACAACTAAAAAGCCGAATGGGACGTTTAAGGTTAAAGAGATGTGGACCAACACCGGCTTTCAATGTCGCTTATGCATCAACATCAAGCTATGATGAAAACGAAATCGAAGCGTTCTATAAAGGCTTGGAGAAGTTCTACAGAGAAGACCACAAATTCTTTAAGCTCATCATTGGAGATTTTAACGTGAAGATTGGTCCTAAAAAACGTCTGAAGAACGTCACATTGGAACCCACGGATTAGAATGGAATGAGAAGGATAAATGGCTGTCTGAGTTTATCGTGACGACCAAGACCAATCATGGTAACTCGAAATTCTGGAAGTCCCACCCTCAACGCTAGACGTGGGAGTCTTCTAATAGAGAGCACCATAACGAGCTAAACCACAACATAGTAAGTCGAAGGTTTTTCCAAAGATGTCGCTATAATTTTAAAATTCTATGCGGTGTCAGATCATCCTCTTCTTCGTGCAAGATTTCATTTCTGGCGAATGGAGTAAAAGCCACCAAATTCAAAAAACGAAGTCCCAAAACTCTTAGCTGGAATTTGTTCAGTTCAGTAGTCAGCTGTTAGAAATAGACTGTTCTTGATAACCTTGACGATAAATGTGTCCCGCTCATTTAACATTTCTGTGTTAATGCTATGAAAGCGAAGGGCCCCAAACTCACCATGAGACGTCTTTCTCCAGAACACCCGAACTAATACGCCAGAGTGGAATCGCACGAGCTACGGGCCACCGTCAGTCCAAGTCCTACTTGCAAAACAAGGCAGACAGGTGATAAAGGAAGATCTTAGAGAAGAGCAGCAGTTATAGTTGAAGGTGCAGAGGCTTGGAAGACCATTCGCAAAGTCCATCGAGCTTCGCCGGTTGCAAAATCAAGATCATTGCACTCTGACTCCCAGACGGAACGCTTGCACCTTCCAAAAAGGTAATGGAGAAAGACATTCACGACTACAACTCAGATGTCTTCAATGGTTACTTCCTTCTGCCGTCGTGTAAAATAAAGAAGAACGGATATGTTCATTGGTTATCCCTTCCGAAATGCGACAAGCTACTTCATCGGTGAAAAATCAAGCAGCACTAAGTCTGGACAGGACAAGATCAGAACACCTGAAGAACCTTCCGCCAGTCCTCGTAAACGCACTGGCTCGGCTCTTCACACGTTACCTGTCTGAATGCAAGGTTTCTACTTAGTGGAAGGCGAAAAAGACTGTGCTATTGCTCAAGAAGAATGACTTCCTCGATGTCGGCAACTATTGCCTATTCTGAGTACTGTCTGTAGTCCACAAACCTTTCACTGATGTCATCCTAAACGGGATTGACAGAACACTGTGAGAATAAGAGCCACGTGAGCAAGCAGTGTTTCGAAAAGGATTCAGTACGATGCACCAAATCCACGCCATAACAAGACTCATTGAAATATCTCGAGAATGCAAGAGACAGCACTGTCTCACTTTCATTGATTTAAAGAAGGCTTTGGCTAAGTTGAGATGGAAGCGGTCACTCCGGATGACCACGACGTCCTTACTCAGTACGTGATTCTTGGTGAGCCATATAAAAATTTCTCGATCAAAATATCACCATTCTGCAATGATATTAACATTGACGTCAAAATAAGTGTTAGGCAAGGCGATACAGCCACCCAGGAATGTTGTGTGAGCGCTGGAATGGAACAACATGAGAGTGAAAGTCGACGGCCGCCAATTACACTATTCTTGCTTTTACCATGACATCGTTCTTATAACACTTAATATCAGCCACGCGGAACAAATGCTTGCCGATTTTGACAAAACCTGTGAAAGCATTGCTCTGAATATCTCGGAATTCCCCACTTACTTCTATCTATGTCAATTAAATCTACATCATGAACGGCTTAGTTCCAGAGTTGAGCAGAAGGAAAGGAGCAGCTTGAGGAGCTTTCAAGAGCATCGTGGATATATTGAAGAGGACAAAGAACACCTGACTCCGTGCCCATCTTCTCGACTCCGCGATTATTCCTACCTTAACCTATCCCTCAGAAATTTGGTCGCTGCATAAGCAGGATGACAGATCAATTAGCGTTATCGAACGAACAGTCGAAAGGACGATGCTAGGGGTATCCCGCTCCACACAAGTTATTGATGGGATCCGAAGCTCCGATCTACGTCAACGATCAAAAGTCAAAGATGCCGTTCTGGACGCCATACAGTGGAAGATAAGGTGGGCCGGGCACGTAATGCGTATGAGTGACAACCGATGGATAGGAGCCGTTAATGATCGGATTCCTCGTGATATTGAATGAATTGCATGAAAATCACCCATGGCCAGAATTCTTCATAAAAACGCTGGAAGAAAGGTATGACTATCAGCGAGTCCATTGAGCGAGCAGGTCCCACTGAGCTACTCTTGCAGGCGTCAGGAAAAAATGAAAAATTTACTGGCGCCCGATCGAGTCACCCGGCGATCAATGGGACTACGGGTGATACAGGTTACAGGTGAATTGATAATTTCCGCTCCACAAAATATGAAGCTAGCATTTTTGTCACTTAGGTTAGGAATAGGATTATTCAGTTGTAGCTAGACTTGTTGTGTGCATGCTTGGAAAGTGACCCATCAGCTGAGTGGAACTGGGGAACGGTAACAGCGGACAGGTGAGATTGAACACAAACGGTTGTAGGCTATTGACTCGGATCACAGGCTCCGATGAAAACGGAAAAGTTGAAACGTCATCCAGGAAGGCATTGATTACAGAAAAGATATTCAGCCTAGTTGCTAATGATGAGCACGAGTTTCCAAATGGAAACCCAAACAAAAGCGAGCCAATGGTCATATTTGTGGTGGTCCTGGCAGAAATTCATTCATAGTATGTTTAACTTTCTGCAATTCATATAGGACGGAAACCACTGATGACAACGGAAAAACAGATCGTTTGAGATTCCTGAGAAAAATAGAAAATTTGTGAAATCACAAAGCTCTGACGGAAATTCTGCTTCAGGTAAGGAAACCAACTTCGGTTTTTTTGTGAAATTGAAATAAAATGGACAATTTTTCCTTTTTTAATACTTTAAAATGTTTGTTTCTAGAATGCAGTCGTCTTCATTGTCCTAACGGACAATCTGGTAAAGAGGGTCCACCTGGGCAAGATGGTGAGCCAGGCGCTCCGGGTAAGCCAGGTGTTCCAGGCAAAGACGGCGAAGATGTCGAACTCGGCTCTCAGGTTGCCAAATTCGTCTATAAATATCATGCAGTTTGTATCGTAACTGTCTCCTAAGCATACTGAGACTGATAGCAACGGATGATTCATTGTATTACACTTATTATTATTTTTTATCGGCATAAACTGTTTTCACAGCACTTTTAACTTGGATCGTCGCCACACATCCATTGCCCCCGAAGGTTCTCGGACTTATGTGTGCATCGGCTGCAACATGAGAATTTTACTTTCGTCACGGATGTAGCTGAATGTCAGTCCGACTGATTCACTATGGAATCTTGGCATTCATCATGTGCAGAGGCCAGCGGTTATGGATCGGGAATGAATCCTTTCCAAACAAGCCTGAAACCAGTTAGCCGACTCCGGAAAGAGGGGATTTGTTTGGGCTTTGTCCAGATCGGGAGCGACGTGAGCACACATGCATTACCAGGCATCCCGAACTACTACGCTTTCCTCATTAACGGCAGTAATAAGATGTTCGAGATAATTGCAACAGTGGTGGCTGTGAAGTGTTATGCAAGGATATTTCTTTGTTGTAAGAATAAATCCGATAGGAACAATTTTTGCACTTGCACTCGCACTTCTGCATAGAGACCTGGAGATCGCGGTTTGGATGAATCCTGGTTGAATTTAGTTCCCTTTTGCATATCGCAATTCAGCACTCAAAAGCCGGTCACCTTCAAGAATATCAAACTATATGAATACATTGTTAAAACTTTCACAGTAGAGTCAGAAAGGATTGTTATTGGGAACAATACAATACTGCGTGAAATGCTATGTGGCAAGGATCAGCCACCGGAACATGGAAGGGTTTGTTGAATTTATGAAGTTCGAGGAGGAGTACCCACCGACCAAGTGAATCACTGCCATTTATTGAAAATCCGCTTCAACGAAAAATATGGAAGTTTTTGAGGAAATATTGCAATGTAGAACCGAAGTTGTGAATTAAAGTCTCGCAGGAAACGTTGTGGTGAAAATGATTTTTGTGGTTTTCTCGAAAAAATGTAAAGGGACTTGTTAGAACTTTATTTAGAAAACGACGAACACTAAGAAGTAAATAGAAATAGAAAACATTTAAGGTTTTTGAAGATTCTCGGAGAGACCAATCTATCTTACTCGTATGTCGCTACCAAGCAAAACGTCCAAGATATCAGTGTTTTAGCCTGATCTACCTTGTTCAATTTGTCCAGCTGGCCCACCAGGTCCTCGAGGACCTCAAGGTGAACGTGGTTTGAGCGGGAAATCAGGAAATCCAGGACCAAGAGGTAAGGGCTTTGCACCGGAGCAGCTGTACACTAAAACTTTGTAGTTTTCTTATTACACATTTTTCTTATTCAACTAAACCTGTCAAAAATGTTGGCATTTTAGAACTTTTCACGGAGTATTTGGATTTGTTTATATTTTTTCATAAATTATGAGTTACAATTACCTACTTTCTTGGTAAGCAGGCAGGAGGTTGTTACTGTATAATTTATTTGTCCAAAAGCTGACATTTCGGCAGCTCTCGTCTTTTCAGTCTTGAGAAGTCAACTTAATTGCAACCTGGTCAATCAAGCACCTCCATAACTTCAACAGAAAAACCAAGATCTCTAAATTTCAATCACAATTGGAACAAAGTAGCTTTTTTTTCACATTCAGCATCCTATATGAGAATTCCACTAAGTCTTCCACGTAGCGAACAACCGTCCAGAGTTCACATAGATGGATAACGTACCTATCTCACATTGGAATGTCATTGAATATCACTCTTAAATACTGTGTCAGATCACTTGCGATGACGAAGTACACCTCCATGCAGGTCATTTTTGGATTCTTGGAATATATCCAGAATGATGCAAGAATTTTACGCTCTTTCACACCTTAAGACTCCAACTAGTTCGTAATTTTCTGTATGACCATCTGTGTAAACGGATAGAGGATAAAGCACTCTGCGTTGATCAATCCCTAAGGGATGCGCCATGTATTCGACTTCATTAAGCATTGCCTGGAGGTGACTGAATGCATAGCTGGTCTTTACAATGACTCGCGGTTGCCTACCGATGTATCGAGCCAGTGCTGTTAACCTCCCAAACAAGTCTGATACCAGTTCGCCGACCTCGGAGGGATGAAAGGATTGGTGAACCACCGGCGCGGGGATCGATCTCACGTGTGTGTCACAGGGCGCCTCCAACTACTGCGTCACACGCGTCCTTGACCATCTATGTACAACGCAAAATTACATACGCCATAACGGTAGAGACGGTGATTGCATGTTCTTGGGTACGGTTTGCTGATCTCTTGTCTTGAGTGCGGGGACGAATACATTGGCGAAACAGGAAGACCATTGCATCCGTAGAAAGGGACACCTAATTGTTTGAAAGTGATACCAAAGGTTCTGCTAGACGCGCATAGGAACCAGAGACCCAACAGGGATGATCTTAAAGTAGAAGTCACCACCCCGCACAAGAATCTAAAACAGCAGCGCGCGAAACACTCGATGCGTTCTGTATAAAACCCAAAAATCCAATAGTGAACAATGCTTGATTACCAAGCGTAATCTCATATAACATCTCTCTCAGAATGGGACTCTAACGTGAAAGAGACACGCTTTCTATCCTTGTGAACTCTGTTCAGTCAGTCTCCACGTAGGAGACTCAGTGGAAGGCTATAGAAAAGTTCCAGGTTCGAATAAGTTGAATTGTTTCCAGTGCGACCAAAGCCTAGGCCTCATGGTTTATCTGTTCAGCCGATCTGGAGTAGGCGAAATCTGGCGAATAGTCACCTTTCGTGTGTAAATGAATAGTGCATAACAACACCGTGTGTGCATATCAAGAAAACCGCGATTTATTGATTAACGGCGAGGTTGCTAGAAAGTCGGCTATAAAAATTCTAAGCTGTGCTTGGTTTTTAGGCGAAAGTGGAAACTCTGGAATACCTGGTGCTGTTGGAACACCTGGTTATCCCGGTCCTTCAGGATCACCTGGAAGTAGAGGAAACAGGGGTGCACCAGGGGAAAACGCTATAGGTGAATCTTTTTAATTGAAAATTTTTTTTACAAATAGGCAGCATTTTTCTCTTTTTTTAAATGCTTCAGAGATTTTTTGGGAATTGTCGCTATAGAGCTTTTTTCGCGTAAATAACGAAAATTCCAATTTCTAGCTGGTGAAGGAGTGAAAGGACCTCGTGGTGTACCAGGTAGTCAGGGACCGAGGGGACCACCTGGAGCTTCTGGACGGCCTTCCAACCTGAGAGGAGCTCCTGGAGTGCCTGGACCGAGAGGGGGAATCGGGAAAACTGGAAAGGTGAGGCGTAAGACGAAGGAAATCCGTTGTGAAATAGAGACACTATATGAATACGAGGATTTTTTACCTTGTTTACTTCAGTAAAAATTATAAAAATTATGGAAAGATGCGAATTTATTCAATACCGTTGTGAAGAAAACGAAAAACTGGATTCTTGTGTTGATTCCTTTTTTACGAAACCATAAGAGAGGTCTCAACGATGCCGCGTTTTTCAATGGAGCGCAAAAGCATCGATAGCTTGTAAACTATACCGTTCATTGCGTGATATTTCACTACCTTCTGTCAAGGTTGACAACAACTCCTTATAGTGAACAAAAAGGTTTCGTATTTTTCAGTTCGGAGTTTACGGTGAAAAGGGTCCTCCAGGACCTCCAGGTGAGCCAGGGATGCCGTCCACCTACTGCCCTTCGGATTGTGGAGTGAACACAATCTTAACCGCAATTTTGAATGCTGATGTCACGGTAACTATTAGGGTTTTGGCATGCACAATATTAGTAATATCAGCGAACCCTTTTTACTCTCTATTGCAGCCCGAATATTCATCACCCGACAAAGGGCAACAGCAAGAAGCTCCCTCAGAAATCACTTTCGAGGAAGAGTCTTATCGGAATTTTTACAAGGAATAAGTTTTTTCAAGGCTTTGTACATGTAAACTCTTAAAAAAGCAATTTTTAATCATCGCTTTTTTTGGAATGAATCATTTTGCATTTAATAGTGCTTCCCACACTAACGCAATGGTGAATGACCACTTCTTCAAGCGGAAACATCACCCCAGCACAAAAAACAGGTGTTCACACTTACTTTAAGGAATAGTGTTTAGAATAAAATGCAGTGTGAGTATACTAAAGGCCGCAGGTGAGTGATGTTACTTCATTCAAGCGGCACTCTACTGCACTGGATTCGACTCTAAGCAATTACGAGGTTCCACATCACAAGAAAAAACAACTGATCTGGGCAATCGACTAGAATGCCAAAAGTATAGCTTCAACTGTGTATTAAAAAATTATCAATTGTAAGTTTATCAGTGAAACGATACAATAAAAGTGAAAAAACCTGATTTTTTAAAGAAAAGCCAAGTTTTTGTTAATTTCCTCGACGGAGAGAAAGAACAGTGACATACAACAGCCATCAAAGTGACATTCCAGTGAAACCCTATTCCGTATTCAATCTCATTTGAGACGCGCATAGCACCCTGGTGAAGATGTGCATGCTCGATGGTTCACTCCCTCACCATCGGCTCAATATCCTTTTTTGGAGTTGAGAAGTGGTACTAGACGTGTATGTTAGAGTAAAAGGGCCAATGTGATACTCAGTAGGCTCTCAAAAGTTTTACAAGCCAAGCATGAAATGGGCGGATGGTAATTATCGGGTTCACCAGAAATTTCTTCGACTTTGAGTCTTTAATTTTACTTGTCTAGATTATTTAGTAAAATCTGCTTATTAGGAAGCAGGAGTACATTTTAGAAAAAACAATGCATAGTATAAAAGTGGGACAGCAATAGCGAAAGCGGCGTTGGTCTGAAGTACAGTAGCGAATTGTCAATACTTATTACGAACTATGGTTATTTTATTACAATCATTTTACTATAATCATTTTACATACTACCAAATGTATTGAAATTTAGGTTCTCCTTGGACATACTGAAAAATTTGCTTACAAAATCGTATTTACTCGTCGAAGACCGGTCGCACTATCCTTCATTGTGTACAATCATTTCCCTTCCTAAAAAGAGATACTTGCTTGAAAATATGTTTCTACTGGAGTGTTAACAAACAATAACCGACTGCAGAATGGGTGACCTTTCAACCAGCAATTGCAAACGACCTTACGAAAACTGCAGCAAAGAATGCATGTAGCAGGCAGGTGCACAACAATAATTTCCAATTGGTGTAGAACGTCTAGATAAAGTCATTAATTTGAGGACACAGTTTTCAGCAAACATATCGAAATTATGAAAAGCTGATGGCACAGGTAGATAGAAAACTAGCCGAGGAAAAGACGAAGTGAAGGATCTGCATGGTGTGGTGGTGAACGCGTTATCGCCCGGAAAGGGTTATAACGTGTTCGTTCTCCGCTGCAGACACCTGCGGTTCGGAGTTTTGCAAATATCTCAGCATCATTGTGGTAATATGAGAAGGTTTTTCAATAAGGATGACATTGTACCTTAAAGTTCTCAGATTTATAGGACGGTACTATAGAAATAAATGTTAACAACGACAAAAAGTCTTGAAACATGAGGTGCCTCTCTTGCTATCTTGACTATGACGATCATGCTTTGGCCAAGTTACTGACCGAAATTTGTTTTTCAATGCGATTCATTAGGTAACCACTTCATTCTAATGCTTTCTGTGTTTGTTCTAAAACAGCATAACCTTTGTGGGAACGGTTAACTTCATGAACGATTTCCCTTCTACAGGATAATATTGGTGCACCGTAGATGTCGATTTTTTAAGCAGAAGATGGGCGTGAATTTAACATCAAAGGTGAAGGTGAAGTGTTATGAAGGTGTTTGGCCGCATAGGTTGCTGTCAGCATGACCTTTCCAGGCTCTGAGGAAGGCGAAATTCGCCGAAACGTCATCTTGTACGTAAATAAAGAAATAAAGTAACACCTCGTGTTTGCTGAACAAAAGTTGAAAGAATTGCTTAACATCAAAGTTTATTCACAATGCCTTAGAGATCAACTGAAATTAAACCTGATCCTTTCAATATGCTCTGGCACTCACTTCATTGCACAATTTGTCAAATAAATAACCTCATAGTAGAAAATAATCCACCGGGAATAGAGAAATATATAATATAGGATCTATTTTTACTCCATACAACTATTTGACGAACAGATGAATCAAGTCAGGGTTTTTGCCCTTCGAGGCAAGTATACTACGAATTCGTCGAACCTGGACCGATGAATTGCTTTGATGGAATGCGGTGTTGAATCAACCGTCGTCTATATATCACAGAGCCCCTTTAACCACCATACTAGGCTCTATAGAATATTCTTGAGTATGTAAAAAAATATAATTAGACTAAACGAAATCCATAGTTAGAAAACTTTCCATCCCACATTAATTGAGTGTGAACGAACTTCACCGGTGAGACTGAATAAATGATTTTTTTATTCTAAATGACCCCTCTTCACGTCTACTATGCGGATCCCAGCACTTCTCTCATTCGATTCGTTTCCTCGGAATCACTGCCCACGAAGATCTCCCAACTTTTACGTGTAGCTTCTGTTGCTGCTTGTGTAGAATGCTGGTCTAGCAATTCTCCCTAGAGTTCTGAGATAGCCGGGATGGAGCGTTCCCAAATGGATCACGGAGAGTAATCATTTCTTTCCCAGAAAAGTCTGGCATCAATTTCTTGACCCCGGAGGGATGAGAGGCTCGGTTGGCCCGGAGCGGAATCGAAGTAGCACCATGTCCGTGACAACGGACATCACTACCACTGTGCTATACGCTCGAATGGGAATTAATATTATGAATAAATGATGAGTGTCCTAATTTTCGTCACATATTAAGCACCAGTTCTATGATAGCCTACGATTTCCGCTGGATAAGCAACAGACAATTTCGACACAATGGTCGACAATCGACTCCATTTGTTCACTATTGAAAGTTATCACATCAATGAAGAGGCAACAACAATATTCCTATGTTTCAGCTAAGGACTTTGTTATTAGAGAACCATTTAGTTCAATTTGTTCACCTTGGCAGCATGTGCACTGATTGCTCGGCCTATTTATGCGCAATCCAATCTTTTTTCCCACTTCGTTGAGCTAATCTTACATAGTTTATGTCTCCTTGCTTCTTCATTTAAAAAAATAACGATTTTGTCAGGCAAACGAAGGCTTAGTAGGAATTTTTCATCAATACCCATGCCGTTTTCTTCCCAGACGCATGACTTCGTTATTAACCGCAGAGTGACAGTGAACGGCTTTGACGATATTGTGTCGCTAGCGGAACTCGTTTTTCCGCGGAATAGTAAGGAGCCAATGGAAAAGCTGTATTTTTTTTCCTACAATTCTGACAACAGCCAGCTAGACTTCCTATGTAAGGCGAGTTCACTCCTTGGTCCAGCAGTGTTGGAATGCATTCGCTTCGATACTGTCAAAGGGTTTTTATTAGTGCACAAAGGACAGGACAAGGGCACAGGGTCTCTCGATGGATTTGTCTAACTCGTGACGCGGTTAGTTGATACTATCTGCTACTTGTGCTATGCTTTCCTTTGCCAACAAAGAAAAAGTATTCGAAAGCATCGAAACAAATGCATTCTAAGGATCGTATCCCAAGGAGTGGGTCCGCTTCATACATGAACTCTCCGACTGTAGTCTGAACATTCGCGAAAAATGCAGTTTTTCCAGTGAATCCTTACTGCTTCCATGAGGAAAGGGATGGTCTATGCAGCAGAATGTCTGTCGTAACCCTGCTTGCTTAATAGTTTTAAAATGGAAAAATGATGATCATATGAGGTTAGGTGTTGATCAGTAGCTTTCATATTGCATTGGACCCCACTAAATATCGTAGACCGATTTCATATTTTACCCACACAGTGATATACTACATACAATGGCCCACTGATATGTGAAGTGTCATTATTTTCCCGTACAACCTTGTTCCCATGTTGCCCACCACGGAGTGATGAAGGACTTGTTTGGCTGGGCGAGTGTGACCGAACCAAAAAGGCATGTGTTATACTAATCGGAACATGCGAGAGGATGTGCAGTCGGCGGCGTGGCCATTCTCGTCAACACGAGTTTGGCCATGAACGTCCATTCGTTAAAACAATTAACAACCTAAACAAGATGTTTAAGGTGGAAAAAATACGAGTAAATACCGTCTTTAACAATCTGTATGGACTTTGAGAACTTTTACAGAAAAGAACACAGAATCTTTAAAGTCATCATTGAAGATTTCAACGCTAGGAAGGAACCTAGAAGAACGCCACATTGGAACCCACGGATTAGAATGGAACGAGAAGGATAAACGGTTGTCTGAGCTTATCATGAGGACCATGACCATTTACGCTAACCTGCAATTCCGGAAGCCCCAATTTCAACGCTGTGTGTGGAAGTCTCCCAGAGGAGAGTACCATAACGAAGTAGATCACATCATAGTAAACGGAAGGTTTTGCCTGACCGATGTCGCTGTTGTCCCAAAATTCTACACGAGATCCCACCATCGCCTCCTTCGTGCAAGATTCTATTCCTCGTCGAAAGGAGAAAAAGCCGCTGAATTCAAAAACCGAAGTCCCAGAACCATGATAAACTGGGACTTATTCAATTCATTAGTCGGCTGCTAGAAAGATACCGTTGTCGATAACATCGACGAGGAATACGGTCGACTCGTTCAACATCTTCACGTTAGCGCTATGAAAGCAGAGGAACACCAAACTCACCAAGAGACGTGTCTTCAGAAATTCTCCAGTTGATACGCCAGCGTGGAGTCGCTCGAGCTACGGGCAATCATCAACTCACGTCCGAGCTTGCAAAATAAGGCCGATAGGAGAAAAAGGAAGATCTTAGAGAATAGCAGCAGTTATAGTTGAAGCCGCCGAGACTGGCAAGAGCATTCGCAAAGCCCACCGAAGCTTCGCCAATTACAAGACCAAGATGATTGCACTCCCACGC